CATAGGTTTTACCAACTATAAAGAAGACAAACTTTACAAATGTTTTCTTAGGAAAGAGCATTGTAGCCTCCCAAAGACTGAAATCATACCTGTGTGTTTCTACTTCTTTTGTAGACATGGTCTCATCAAAATATTTTTACATTTGTAGAAATAAGTGTACCCATTTAGTAGCAGAAAAATGTCTTTAGAATTAGATACCAACAATAAATGAAAATGAAGATTTTATATTTGACTTTATGGAAAAAAGAAAGGAATTCTATATTTTCTGAATTATGAAACAAGCAGTTTCTCTGAAAGATATAGTATTTTCTTACATTATTGAACTGAAAAAACTATATTAACAGAAATTTTGTCTATACTGCTTTTATGATTCTAAAATACAGATGTCACTGATTTGTTGTCAAATGCAATGCCCTATTTACTTTTATCACCAATTGAAAGAAAAAAATGCTAAATGTTGTATATTTCCAAAACACAAAGCAGAAAGTACTCATAAAATAATTCATATCACTTACAATTTCTAAAGAACCTGATTTTGCACCTGCCTATTCCTCTAAAAGTGGTATGAGGGGTAGTGTACAAAAATTAACTAGGTTAAAGTAGTTAGAAGATACATCAAAGTTTGAGAAACACCTGTAGTACTGACTTTTACAAATGTCCTCCTCTAAATTTGACATAAATTACAACTTCACCCAGAATGTAGAATACCAGAAATGTGAATTCTTTACAGGTAATACTATGATTGAATCTTACGAGTGATCAAATTCAAGATACTTAGGTAAAAATAACCTAGCACAGTTAAACTGAAAGTAAGTGGAAAAGTAATTTCTATGGTAACCCAGATTTTCTAGGTATTTAGAATTAGGAAATTGAAATCAGCAACAGTTGCTAGGGGACAATCACAATGGTTGAAACCCTTCGCCAAATGGCAAATGAGTGAATGGCTACAATTTGGCACCAAACTGAGATCCCTGCTGCTTTTTCAATGGTGGCCATAAAGTACTTGCTATGAATTTTGAGGTTTCTGTGGTCTGATAAAATATAAAATGTAATCTCAATGTCAGAGAAAAATGGTGTCCAAAATGTCAATATTTGTATTTTAAGAGTCTTCTAAAATCTAGCTAATTTATAATGATCAAGAATTCACAATCATGGCTTACAGTTCAAACACACACACATCTGAAATAGATAATTCATGATCATTAAAATACTATTTAAATTTTTAAAATTTATTTAATTCTAATTATATGTGCATATATATGTTCATAATTAATTATCAATCTGTTGATCTATCTACCTATTATTGCAAATCAGAATTTAACCATAGTGAAAATTAATCCAATTTTATAGAGGTTATTATTTATAGTTTGACTTATGAGTGAAAGTTACAGGCTAAATTAAAACTCACTACGCAAAGGCCAGGATGCTTGAATTAAGCAAATGAGTCTGTTGCTGCTTTAGACATTAAAGGCATTCAAAATTAAAGGAACAAAAAAAGAAATGATTTTCTTTTCATTATGTGGAAGGCATTGTTCTCTAAAATATATATCCCCTTCCAAAGATGCTTTAGTGCTGCTGTTTTCAGCGCTGAAAAAAAACCCACCAGATTTTAACAGCATTGAAATTTGAGTGTCCTTTTGTGTTTCATAATCTTTGGTAAAAATTCATTTGTCAAACTTCGTTGTTGTTTTTTGAGACAAGGTCTCAAAACATAATATTATACTTTAACTTCCTGCAATATCCTTGTCTCAGCCTCACAAGTGTTAAGATTATAGGTCTGCAGTGACTTGTCAAACTTACTTGTGGCCCCACTGTGTGCTGTGTGCTGAAAGATATGCCAGTAATTCAGGGATACAGCAGTCTGTTCAAGGCAAGAACCTTGATGTGTGGCTTTGCCCTTTCGATCTTGAAGCATTTTTTTTTTAAAAAAACAACAGAAAAAAAAAGATAGAAATGATACAGAATTTTAAAAAAACAGTAAGAAATTAACACTAGTTAATATATTGCATATTGTTATCTTAGAAGTAGTTGTTCAGGTTACAAGATTTAGGCACAAAAATAATAGATCAAACAATGACAGCACAAACTATTTTGATGAACTAGCAGAGGTTGATAGTATAGCTAACTATCTTGCATACAAATACATACTTACTTTTATATATGTTTGCCAGCATACACATAATCTTTTCCTTTCTTCCTTTCCACATCCCAGTTGTTCTTTCCTTTTTATCACGTTCTTTCTTTCATTATTACAATATCTATTGTAAATTTTGTATCTTATTACTCTTTCAGCCCCATATTGAAGATTTAAAAATATTGTTACATAAATCAGTCATACTTCTGATACCTTGGCAATATGAGTTTCTCAAAATGTTAATGCTGTCCTTAAAATTTAGTAGGGAGTAAGATCTCCATCCAACTCTTAAAAATTCCTATTTTACCTCCTCTAAGCATGTCTGTCAAAATCTTATTTGCTCTTCAAGGTACATTTCTTTTGCTGAGGTGCTGTGTATTTAGTGTAATAATATCCTTATCACACATGTGAAACACTCACTGATTTAAATACACTCAGAATGATTTGCAATGAAGATTAGAATTACCTTAGCTAATGAATAACTACTTGCCATGTTATGAATGGAATTAGTTTTTAAAACTAAGCTTCCTGGTTAAAAATGGGCAAAAGACTTAAATAAATGTTCCTTAAAAGAAGACATTAAAATGGCCACCAGGTTTATGAAAAGGTGTTCAACATCACTAATTATTAGGAAAGTACAATTAGAATGGCCAAATTGATCACCTTTTTGAGTGATCAAAAGATCAAAGATAACAAGCATTTGAAAAAAGTGTATGCCATTGCTGCTAATGTAAGTTAGTGTAGCCATTATGGAAAACAGTGTAGAGTTTTGTCAAAAAATTAAAAAGGGATTTACCACATGATCAAGCAATCTATCTGCTAGGTAGATATAAATTCAAGGAAAATAAAACCCATATGTTAAAGAGACACACTTATTCCCCTGTTTATTATAGCACTCTTCAAAACAGCCAAGATACAATAACATTTCTACTCACACATTTTCCATCAAAATTTGGTAATAACTTCTTCTAAAATTTTTGAGCTTTCAGTATTATCTCTCTTATTTCCTACAATGCCCTTTCCTTATGTCCTTCTAGTATATCATTTCCTCCTTCAGTGTGAAATCTGTGTCTTATTAGTTTTTGCATTTTCATTACCATAGTAGTGTAACAAATATTTATGGGTCTTTATTTTATTTGATCTTCCAGTGTCCAATGACCTATCTCAAAACTATTGGCTCATCACAAAGTTTTTAGGCTCCTAGCAACTGGCTCTTGACTTCTGATTCTTTGGACCTTGACATTGATTCTTATGGGTTCTAGTTCTGGTTAGGTGAGACTGGTAAGCACATTGTGATTGCTTCTCTCGCTTTCCTGGTGAGACTGTAATCTTACATTTTGCTCAAGTGAGCTCTTTCAAATCCCTTCTTCTGATGAGTATGCTTTGATAGAGAGTAGAATTGAGTGCAATAGGAAGTGGAGGAGATATAAGCCAGAGTCCTCCACAGGATGTTTTTAGGACTCAGTATGAAAGTAGTATTCTTAGATGTGTTGCCACATGATGACATAAGCACCAAGTTACATGTGGCTTTATTATCCTGTACACAAAGTGTCCTGATGCCAGATTCCACTCTTACAGAACATTCACATCACTCAAATGAAATAGTTTTGATTTGGATTTTTTTCATTAGATGGTAGCTAGATGATCTTAACTAATCATTTCAAGTGTAAAAATCGAGATTTTCATTGCAATATCTGTTCAGTTATGTAGTATGCAGTATGCAGTCAATTAGTTGTCATCCAGAATATTACCCATGTAGAATTGCTCCTATCCAACCACAAAGAGAATCTGAAAAAGTCAGTACTAGTAGTAATTCTTCAAGGTCAAGCATAGGAATAGTTTATGTAATTCTTTGTGATTTACCAATAGTTGAAATCAGTCTCCAACCTTATTTCAGATGCATATCGGAAGGTAGGTAGAAAAAGAGCCTCTGGATCCTGTTTCTCAATAGCTAGTGATTCCTCCAAAATTAATGACTCTTCTGCAGCAACAATTGGCAAAGAGAGAAGTACCAAGGGAAGGTGCAATAAATAATGAAACAACAGCCATCTGTTTAAAGAAGGATTGACAGTTACATCCCAAAAAGGAACCACTTAATTCCTGTGCCAAAACTGGTCCTAGCAATGCACAAAAGCAATGTGGATTTTTCCACACATATTAGATACAAAATATTCTTGCACTTTCAGGGCTTCTATACATACAGATCACTTGATAAAACAAGCAATTTTCAGGCAAGCCTTTATATTGGCCATTGTGATTTTGCTTAAGTGTAATCATTTTTATTGATTTAACTGGATTCCATGGTACACAAGCAGAAAGTCTTTCTCAACATGATTTCTTCAATTTACTTTCCTAATACATGCCACATCTCCATTCCATAACCACTTTGATGAAATCTCTGCCAACTCTCACAACTTTTCTTGTAAGCTTCAGGTGATAAATGATACAATGCAGCCTAATAGTCACATGATTCTGAAACATCTTCCTGTTATATCTTACTGGTCTGTCAGCTCAGTTTGAGAACGTGGGCATGTTGAAATACTTTTTCCCATCTAACTAATCTACTCTTTGAATTCCACTCACCAGTGCGTACCTGGCTAGCTTAGTGTTCGAGTGTGGAGATAAATGTGACACAGGGCAGAATGACTTGCTGGATTGTTCAATTGTAACCAAGTCTTTCTGTTCTCTGATTGTGGAGGATTCCAAGTAATAAGCCTTGCTTGTGTTGATGGTTTTATGAGTTCCTACTGGGGATTCCTCAGCTGTATATACCTGAATATAGGGAGTATTTTCTGAAGCTGAATATTTATAATTTCATCTTTAATCTCTGATTTTTCCACTGTTCACCTTTCTTTTCTAGGGATTTCTTCTGAATGGAATTCTTTAGATGATGTCCAGTCTGATTCCTTCTGCTGGGCCTACAGTTGGTGCACAGAACTTTGATTCTCCCATTCCACCCACCAACTTTTGCCATCAGAACAGCTTGTGGATTTAGACCTTTTATGTATGTATTACATATCAACAGTAAGTGCTGTCTTCAAAATGCTAAAAATCACCAAATCAGTCACCAAGAATTTCTTGATGTTCTCCCCCAAACCCTAACATCAACAATTTGGCTTGGTTTGTGGGCAGAACAAACATGATCCTACACCATGGATGTGAAGGAGAAGCTGGAGAAATATGAGAAATACAGTTACTAAAAACTTCCTGTCTTTATATTCTGCAGGATTTTTTCCTCTGAATTCTTTCCTTCTTGTCCATGATTTAGAAGTAGGATTGAGATAATGCCAGAGGGACCAATTTGAGGTCTCTTTCTTTATTGGCTAACTAGAGCTTACAGCATAAATTTTTTAAACTTACAAATGTTAATACTTTTACTTCCTTGCCAAATAATTCATGAAGCTCACCATATTTTAACCCCAGTTACCAAGTTCCCAATTTAGTTTTCCTGCATTTTAATTGTATACATATAATTTTTATACAAACTGTAATAAAGAATTCATTTATCATACCGTACATATTTACTGTTTTCTTTCCTTTATATATCTCATATTTTATATGTGATTTTTTTTGGACCCAAAGAATAATATTTAATAATTTTTGGATGCATTTGTTTCATGTAATACCTTTGTCTTATCTAGCTATAACAGTATGAATTTCCCTTTCACAGGACAAACTATTTGAAAATAAGAAAAATATGAAGAAAATTAAGTGTTCAGAACATATATTTAATAGGTTCATTCATTAAACGTAAAGAATATATTTTGTAAAACATAGCCATAAGTACCTTTAAAAAAGAAACCATTGTCCACTCAACTATTGACAAAATATTGATTATAAATTTTGTTTCTTTTTCAGAAACTGATGAATTTTGGTTTGTAAATGGTATAGTGAATCATAAAACTTAGATGAAAGTTTTCAAAATTATGTTTGTATTTCATTTCTCAAGAAATTAGCACAAAAAAGTTTGATAGAGAAGTGAAACTCATTCATTGTTAATAATTGATAAGTTTAGATTTCTAAAGCATATTATCCAATTAATAGGAGCTTCTGTGAATCTAAAATAGGATTAGACTCAATTTATTTATATAAACTTAGCATCTGACCCTCAAACTATGTGCCCATTGAAAGTAGTGGCTATATCTCATTTTCCTTTGTTGTATCTGCAGTGAGAAATGGCTCTGTCACACAGTATTCAATATATTAATGAAGGATAAGAAAAATAGAATGTTTGGGTTTCCAGTTCAAAATGTAAAATGTGTTGAAGTTGTCAGTCTTGTCCTTGTAATAAAAAAGAATTGTTTTTTAAAAGCTTTGGAAGTCAACAGGCCTTGTTATATCTATCAAAGAATTGAGGGTATAGAGCCACAACTGCCCTGAAAGTGGAGAGATGTCCAAGATTGACAGTTTATTTTAGTAGAAGCCCACTGCTAAAGCCAATATCAGTAGGAGCACTTTAAACTGGAGGCTCAGTATGGACTAACTTGGAAGTTAAAATCTCCTAGGGATTCCAGTCTTAAAGGATCTCTATGCTTTGGAGGGATTCAACCTCTAAGAACCCCCCAAGGTTCTCATTATGAATATTTGAGAAAAATCTTCCCATGCTTTCGGCATGGGGGTAGGAAATGTAACCATTCTGAAATATGTCTGGTGTGTTTTTTTGTCCTTAGAAAAGCCTTCTATCAAGGGAAACTGTTTTACCAGGACACAAACAACTAAGGTATTATCAAAGTCTAACCAATCTAGGAGAAGAGAAATACCCAATTCAGGGTCACTATAAGACTAACAATGCTTCTTTGCCCCTTCACCCTAGCACTGCATAATAGAAGTCTTATGTAGCAGGGGATTACAGTTCAAAGAACTGCAAGCCTTAGACCTTATTTAGGAGTATCTTTGAAAACCCAAAAGCAACAAAAAATCAGGATCCAGAGGAAATTTTAGCCTCTGACACTACAACTGAACCAAACAGGAAACAGAATCCTACTCCTATCCAGAGAAATATAAAGTTTCCTCCTAAAGACTCGTATCTCTCTATTACTTTTACAGAATAGACTGTTCGCTTTCAACAACAAATTATAAAGCATGCTAAAAGGAACATGCAGCTCAAAGAGACATGTGCTGCATAAGATCCAGGTTCAGTAGAAGTTTTAGAATGATCATACTAGGAATTTTAATAACTATAATTATTAAATTTTAATTAATTAATATAATCATTTAATTAATAATAGCTATTTAAATGCTTATTATTTTTGCTATATTTTAAATATTCTAATGGAAAGAGTGGACAATGAAGCAAAGAGGAGTATATAACAGAGGTGGAAACTAAGAAAAATATCAAAAGGAAAAGCCAAAATGAAAAATACTGTAACCAAAATGAATGTCCTTGTTGGTCTCACCATGTATGTGGATGTAGACATCAGATATGAGCAGAGAACCATTGAGTTTAATAATATGTCAATAGTTTAAAAAATTGAGATACAAGGAGAAAAAAAATAATGAAAAAGGAGAAATAGTACCCAAGAATTGTGGCTTAATTATAAAATGCACAACACATACGTAATGGGAATAAAATAGCAAAAAAAGAAAGAAATTGAAAAAAAATTGAAGAAATAATGGCTGAGAATTTACCAAATTTAGCAAGGGATTCGTGAAGCCTGGAGAATAAGCAAGATATATGCCCAAAACACAAAATCTACACCTTACCATATTGTATTTAATTCAGAAAATTAAAGACAATGATACTTTCTTAAAAGATACTAGAAGAAAAAATACCTTACTATATAGAAATAGGATGAAAAAGAGAGAATTTGATACAAGGACTTGATTTCTCCTCAGTAACTATAAAGAGAGAGTAGAGTGAAAGATGTACATCGTTGAAAGAACTATTCCACCAATCTAGAAATATGTATCTAGCAAAATTGACCTTCAAAGGTGAAAGAGAAATCGAGACTTCAACACACAACAAAAATTGATGAATCTAGTTGCCAGAAGACCTGCTTTGCAAGACATAAGAATAAGTCTTCAGAAATAAGGAAAGTGATTTAGCCAGAAACTTAATTCTATATAAAGAAAGGAAGAAGTTAGAAGAGGAATAAATGAAGGTAAAACAAAAGTATTTTCTTTTCCTTATTCTAAACTAATCTAACAGACAGCAATTTCTTTAAAGTAGTAGTTCAGTAATTATTAAGAGCAGAGAAATGAATGGCATTAATGTTATAAAAGATGAGAAAACGCCATTAACACTATGCATTCGTCTTGAGTTATGATGGTGTTACTTCTAAATAAATAAGAAATTTAATATACTTACCCAGTAGGACAGTGTGGAAACACAGTCTATTGTAGAATACTTGTTTACCTGTGTGATTGTGTGGTTGACTAAGAAATGTTCCCTGCTACTTCCCAGTTTCACAAGAGAATATTATACTGCATATTATCAATCTGTAAAGTGATTAAAATCCAAAATTTGACATGCTGTTTCTACTGATTGTCTATTATATTTTCACCATAGTAAGTTGAACCTTTGTAAATTAAGAACTGTCAATATTGTTAGAAGTACTGCTATGATACATGAAGTAGTATGGTGTTATTTGAAAAAGGACTTGGGTTAGATGTAAATATAGATTTTAAACCTAAGAAAAATGACTAATAAACATTAAAAGGAGCATAATTGACATTCTAAGAACACAACAAAGAAATTATATAAAATGCTCAATTAGAATTGCAGAAGTTACGGGCCACGGGATGGAGAACAAGAAGTCAGCCACTTCCAGAACCACACGTTGGCTGCGGGGAGAAGATGCCAGCCCTATCTGGGGTGTGGGCTGGGAGATGAGAAAAGCCAAGGATTGCCCCGCCCCCATAAGCGACTAGCTGATTCAGAGAAACACAGGCTGAGATGATAACTATTGAAGTAAAATACAACTTAATCCTTGTAATGTTTAGTGCTTCACTGACTTTGCAGGTCTAAAGCCAGTAGTCTGATCATCTATTTAGAGGATAACAAGATGCAATATAGCCTTTATAGAGGATCTCCTTCTGAAGATGGTAGCCACTGTTAGTTCCCTATTTTCTTGTTTTAAGGTCCTGTATCATTTTATTTTTTTATTTTTATTTAGAGAAAAAAGCAAAACACAAAAAAGGGTAGAAATAATACAGAGTTTAAGAAAAAATAACAGTAAGAAATCACTAGTTGATAAATTACATAGTTATCTTAGAAGTAGTTGTTTTAACCTGTATCATTTTCATTGTTTTGTTTGGTTTGGTTTTATTCTGTTTTGTCTTGTTTGATTTTATTGTATCTGATGGCATGTGCAGCTATTTCAAAGATAGAAAGATATATTATGGTAGCCATTTTTGACTTACTATTATCTTGTTTTGAAGTATTGCATTCATTGTTTTGTTTTTATTGGTTCTAATCTGTACAGTTTTGTTTGATTTTACTATGTCTGATGATAAGGGCAGCTATTTTGAAGACAGCAAGAGGCATTATGGTAGCCATTGTTGATTTCCTGTTATCTTGTTTTGAAATCCTGTATCACTTATACTGTTTTGTTTTGATTGACTTTATTCTGTTTTATTTTGCTTAGTTTTACTCTCTTTAAAATAAAAAATCACGTAAGTTAAAAAATGAATGGAAGATGCAAAGAAGGAAGGAAGAGAGCTGGGTGGGAGGAAAAAATCAATATAAAAAAGGCAATGAATAGAAAAAAATAACAAATAATATAGATATCAACTCAACTATATCACATACCACTTTAAATATCAGTGTTCTAAATTCACTAATTAACAGAGAATGTCAGAGCAGATAAAAATTCAAGATGTAACTATATGTTGTCTAGGAGAAACCCACTTAAAATATAAAGCCACAGATTAAGTGTTATAATATTAAAGAGAAAGATATATTACGTTGGTACTCAACAAAAGAAACCTGGAGGAGTGATATTAATTTTACACAAAGGCTTTTGAACAAGGAAAAGTATCACAAATAAGCAGGGACTTTAAATA